TGTGAAATCTGATGAGCTACAACAGGTACGGGAGCTCACACCTATTTTAAAACATGAGAACATGTTTAAGTGGAGCAGAGGCTACTCCATGATCCCAAACAGTTTGTTTTCCTTTCCTGGAGGAGTAGAAACACCTCTCCAGGGAGTGCTGCAAATTTATATCAGTAACGAGCATCTCTGGGGACTCATAGAAATGGATGTGCCGAGTCGTGGAGTGGGTGGGAAAGCTGGAGGCAAGTGTCAATCCTGGTTTGCACAGAGAAGCTCTATGCCCTGTGAGAACAGACTAGGCAAGGGGGAGGGAAGGGTGGCTTTTTGATGAGGACCTGAAAAGCAAACAAGTTTGTGCAGGTGCATGGCCAACCCAGAGCTCAGCAGGGCACTGCTTACTGTAGTGGATACATCCTGGATTATTTTAAAAAGAACATCAATAAGAAATATCATTAGCTTGAAATCAAGGTGGGTTTTTTTACTGGCATTGTGTTTCATAACAGCCTTTTTCTGTTGTAGAGATGTAATTAGAGATGTCAGTCAACTTACCCTCTTAATATCTTTTAGTTCCCTTTTTTGCCTTGGCTGCTGTATTGAGCCTGCAGGCCAGTAATCCACCTGCCCTCTCTCTGCCACACAGTTCTTAATGATGCATGCACATGGATTTTCATTCTCTAAATTCTTTATAGAAATTTCTATTCAATTTAATAATTTATATTCTCATTAATCTAGCTTATTACACCATATTTTGTAGCCATTAAATTCAATAACAAGGAACACATTCTTTTGAAGAGAGGTCCTGTGCAATATCTCATTCTAGGAGAATGACAGATGCTGCATCTCATATAATGAGCAATAAAGTCTGTGAAATCTCTGCAAATCCCATTTCAAAACTGGGGCTTGAAAAATCCTGGCCACAGTAACTTCAACTTTAAATTGACACTATGAATCCTGGTTTTATTTGTTTTTCCCCTCAACAATCATCTTCCTACCCACCAGCTGATGCATGTGCTTTGTCAGCTGTGCTTGGAGAGGTCTCACCCTGCAGTTTTCCTCACCCACAGTACTGTGAGTGCCCCCAGCACTGCAGCAAATAGGAAAAGCAAGGAACCTACACCTTGTTAAATATTTAGGTGTCTTTTCTGCGATTATGTGAGTCTTTCTGTTTCTCATGTGAAGCTTGCTTTGCTTGAAAATTATTTTTCAGATATTTCCAGTGACATTGGCATCTTCTCTGTCCTGTCCACTGGCATAACCTCATCCCTGCATTGGTCCTGTTTTCTGGGATACACTGCTCACTCTCTTTCCAGTCATTTAAATTTCTTCCCTCTGTAAGCGTGGTAGTTAAGTCTTTGTTTGACCTGTGCTTGTGTTGAGGACTCTGTACTGGTTTTGATGGGATGGATTAAGGAGGAATTAAACCTAGGAATCCCAATGGATTTGGGTGACATTTGAGCAGTTTAACAGCAAGATGTCTTATGGGGAATTTTCAGCTGGCACATTGATAAGACTTTGCCAGCTGGAGTCCAAAGGCTGTGACTGATTTACTGGCAGTAAAGCCCATTGCACCCGCCTTCATCTTTCTTGGACAGCATGAAAGAGAGGGCATGAGAGAAGCTGCTCCTTTCTGTCACTGGGAGTGGAAGGACTATGTGCTGCCTTCATGATACTGATGCTCTCTGCTGGCTCTATGTTAGGCACTGTGTATCTTTGTGCATCTGACAAATTATATGACAGGTTAAAGATTATTCTAATCTGTTCTGCTAGTCTTCTGATAGCTGAGACGGGAGCATGTACCATCTGTGCTGTGTTATTCTAGCTAGTGTATCCAAACTTGTTTATCTGTCGCCTTCACACCTTATGTTACTCTGTGATTCAAAACTGATTTACTGTTAACTGTTTACAGTGATTTGAACAAGATAGACTTGTCAAACAGACAGGAAAAAACATTTAATTACTAATTTCCCTTGGTCTCCTGGGGCTGGATGTACAGGATTCCCATTCAAGTGATTAAGGAGAAAAGCAAATGGCCCATGTAAGCAGACTTATTTCCTGACACTTACAGCAACTGTCCTTGCTGCAAGTTGACAGCGTTGGGTGTCCTAACCTTCAGCATTTCCTATCCCCTTTTTTTTTCTCAACACTATAGATGGATGGAAGGGAGAAGTTGTGTTTGAGCATTAGAAATGCAAAAGGCTTTAGTGCAGGGCATTGTCTGTTGCATTGCTGATGTTTGGATTCCTTGTACTTGTTTTACTGGTTTACTGGTTTATTGAAGCATTTTACCCTATGGGGTAAATTCCTCCATAAAATCTTGTGAAAACTTTACGTAAACAGACTTTGTCTTATTGGTCAGGCATTCCTTCCTTAGATACCTGGAAGGGCAGGCTGCTGGCAGGATGGGGAACAGTGTGCGCAGCCTGTGCAGTAAAGCGTGTTCATTGGTTTTGAAATGAATCAAAAAGCCTAATTTAAAGAATTCATGCTTAGTAATGTGACAACTGTGATGATGGGGTATGCAGCAGAAACAGCTAAGGGACATGTTAAATCATATAGAGAAAAGCAGATCTTGGCTGGAGATAGGAGTGTTGGCTTTCACCCATTTTCATGAAATGAAAGCTGTGTTGACCTGTTATATTTGTTCAACACCTAGATTCATAGTTGGTGAATCAGTACAGTAGATTTAGAGTCAATGAGGAAATTCAGTTATATCTGAAGACCTCCAGAAGAGGAGGGGACAAGGCTAATGGAGATGAATGACATGGTAAGAACCTTTTTTTAAAAATGCTGTAGTTGAATTGATTTATGCAGTAAATTGCATTAACCAGCAGAAAGGGCATGGCACAGTCTTCCCTTTCAAAGAAGGCGGAGGAAACAGGCAAGGTGGGAACTGTGGACAAATAGGTCTTTCACCCAGTGTTGTGTCCAGTGCTGATGCTTTCTCTTCTGTATGCTCTACCATTTGATTTATGGGGTTTTCCAGTCAGCTTCTGAGGTGTGTGAAGGGTTAGATCAGCTCTGGCCAAGAGCAATAATTTCTCTATTTCTCTGCATGACTGCCTGCCTGTCTGTTAGGGGTTCCATGTAAGAATATATTTCACCAAAGTCAGAATTCAGCAGCAAAAAATTGGTCTGGCTGGAGATGTGAGTTGGTCAGCTTATAGAAAGCAGAGCTGGGGGAGAGGTTGAGTACCCCTTTTTCTTCTACCCTGGTAAAACTGCTGCTTCAGCGCTTGTTGTTTTTCTCATCTGCTCATTGTGGGTTAGTGATTCTGAATCAGAAAATTCTAATGCTGGGCCTGAATTTGAGGTTCATAATTCAGCTTTTTATCTTTATGCTGCTACTGGGATGCATTGTTGTCTTAACACAGCACAAATGCTGTGTCTTGACTGCCCAAAGTGAGGAATTATATCTGTATGAACTTTTTAGGGATCTTTAAAGGAAATGCAGAATTACTATCTGTTGCATCTTTGACTTCATCATTTCAGTCTACGTGTCCTACCTCATCTGTAATCAGGTACAGATAAATTCACTTTGTGTAAGTTTGATCCCACCCTGAGTTCAACTCGGGCTCTCTGGCACCATGCTGGTTTGGAAACCACTTACCACAGGAAGCAGGCAGATCACAATGTGCTTGGGCACATTTTCTCTCTCTGAATACTCTGCAGCTATGCCTCCAGCAACTACAAAGGAGTGTTACCCAGATTTGGCTTTGCCATGCTCAGGTATAGCAGAGTGGAGTGTAAAACCTAATGTGGAATTGAAGAGTGCTATTGCATTACATAAGATTGTCTAAGTTTCCTGGTCAAATGTTCCTACAAGGGCCTCCATATACTTTCCAACCAAACCGCTGCTTTCTGTTGAGCCACAGCCCAAAGGAAGAGTGGAGCATGCTGAGGCAGTGCATATGCACACAGATTGTGAGAAAAGCACATACAGGAATTTAAAGATCTTATGAAAATATTTGCCACCAGTACAAAATGATGCTTCTCAAATTAGATTATGATAGGGGGCTAAGAGTTGGGTTTTCTTTAAAAAAAAACCAAACTAGCTTGTTCCAAGTAGATTCAATGCAAAATTAAAGTGAAGCAGAAAAGAAATAAAACTCTTTTTAAATGTTATTATGTTTCAGATATTCTTTGATGCATCCCAGCCCTGAGAAATTAATCTTTTCTTGACAGTGGCTAGCAAGAAAATCATGGTACTTCTTCTGAATAGTTGCGGGGATAGTAGCTGAAAGCTACCTTTATTTTCTCCAGTCTTTGGTGGAAAAAAAAGTTACTTTTTTTTTTCCTGGTTAAGTTTTTTATTTCTTGTTTCTGTCTTCATGTCTGGTTTGTGTTTTGCTATGCTTTTTTGGTGTAGCTTTGAAAATTTCAGTGTCTCAAGGAAGAAATGCTTGGTCAAATTTTGTCCTCAGTCACCTGGGGGGAAAAAGTCAGAGAAATGTATTGACTTTCCTGATATAAAGCTGGATGTTTATTGAAGTAACCCAGCAGCAAACCAACAGAACTTTATCCTGTTTTGTTTGTTCATTTATAAATTGTCTTGTCTGGTTATGAAGACACATAACTAAAACACAGCTGGTTGGTTTCAATTGCTTCTAATTCAAGGCAGAGGAGCCAGCACCTTCCAAAGTGGGGTAACCAAAGCAATGCTTGTCTTTTGGTAAAATGGTCAAAACTGTGGTGTAAAGCCAAAAAATGAGCTGCAGTGTTACATTCTGGCTGTGCAAAATTCTCTTCTGTTCATCGAAGTGGTCGGCTGCGCTGACACCTCCAAACAGATCCTTAAACCCAGGAACAGATGTTTTAGTGCACGTTCCTTTGCTTTGTCAATATGACGCATCAACAGCAAGTTGCAGCCCGGCATTTACATCTCAAGTGCTGGGCTGCTCCGGGCTGGTGACTTGCTCTTTGACCTCATTCCTCCTTTGAACCTGCTGCCGCGGCGTGTGCTTGCCAGCCGCGTCCCTCAGCCCCGCGCTGCTCTGTCTTGTCATCCGCAGACAAGAAAAAGGCAGGCAAATTCCAGCCTTTCAAGAAGCTCTTCAGCAAGAGGAAGAAAAGAGAGCCCGCCTCAGACTGTGAGGAACCCAAGCTGAAGCCCAGCCACTCCTTCAGCAATATCTGCAACGGCACCTTCTCCTCCGATGAAGAGCCAAACAGTGGGCTGAGGTAAGCGCACATGCATCTGCTGCCAGCCTGTGCACACACACTGCTTGTTCTCCCTGCTTTTAATGGAATTAAATTTAAATTCTCCCTCTGCTAAATGGCAGCAATTTTTACTTGGCTTTTTACAAAGTGCATGCATCTCTCTCCCTCCTCTGAACATGGCACCTGCTGCTTTAGACTCCAAAGTGGGTTCATGTACTGGTTTGCAAAAAAGAATTCTCAGGGTGAAGCAGAAATGAATTTGAATCCAGCTCTGTGATTTAACAGAAACCATGGGGAACCTTGAGCACGTGTATTAATGGCATGCATGTTTTTAAAAACTGTGAAAAGGGAAACTTGAACTGGTATACTTTATTGCACACATTTCCCTGCAAGGTGGTATCTTTGGGTCAGAACAGACACATCCTTTTTCAGTCTATCCCATACAGTTTTTGCACTGTAATTGGGGTCAACAAATAGGCTGCTTTTATTTTGATCGGAATGTAGAGCAGAAGGAAGGGAGCAGAGAGAAGCACCTGGAAATCAGATCATATTCAAGTGTCAACAGAGGATTACAAAAGGACAGTGTGAGAATTTTCTGTATGAATGGTGGGAGAAAGAAACTGCACAGAGCTAACTAGTTAGCAATCTCTAACTGAGAACAGGAAAAAAAGAAAAGCCAAACCAAAAACCAAAAAAACAAAACCAACCAAACAAACCAACCCAAACCAAAACAAACAAAAACCCCCCTACCCCAACAGCAACAAAACCCCAAGGCTGGATGCACAAACTAATGGCGTCAGTAATACTTATTTCACTTTCCAGCTGCTAGTCTCAGAGAGGTTAGCTGACTCCTGGTCAAAGCCTGCTGCTTTGGAAAAAAAGAAACTGTTTGCAGTGTGAATATCTGAATGTAACAAAACAGCTGAGAGGACAAAAAAACATGCCAAAATTTGTAGCAGAAACATCACCCTGCACAGTATTTCCAGTGGTGCAAAATAATAGCTGCAAAAATGTGATTTAAAAATTATTCATTTAGGGTTTTTTTTAAGCTTTTGAGGTTTTTTTGCCATTCTGTGAAATTCCTTAAGTTCTAGGTTTCCTTTTGGTTTCTGCAGTGCAATCTCATACACCTCTTTTGCCCAACCCAGCTTTTCAGAAAATCAATACTGAGCATAGCCACAGTGTAGCTGGAGGTGTGGCTGACTGCTCTTGCATTGCATTACCTGAGTGCATGATGCCAAAAGTCTGTAGGAGGTTTCAGTGCCTTTTCCCTCAAGAGTAAACTAAAGGGCGTCATCTCGCTATCAGGGATTTCCCATTCAGTATAACCGAAAATGTGGTGCTGCGCCCAGAAACAAACAGTGATATGGGAACTTGTCCCATTCCCCAACAGTGACGGGAAGGTGTGGCCGACCCTGGTGAGACTGTTAAATGCTTACATTTTTAAACATATTAATTTTTCTAATTAATAAAGGCATTAAGTGTAAGCTTCTGGTATAATGTCAGACTGCACGATTTAAATCACAGGGGTTTAGCAAGGGTGAAGGGTCACCCTTCCACCCTGAAGTGGAACACATCTTTCTGCACCTATGACTCCTGAGAGCTTCTGTTTTAGCCTGCTTAAAATACCAAGTCAAACCTCTGTTTTTCCTCTCAGGCTTTATGGTGCAATGTGGGTGGGATTTGATGATAATTTTCAGTTTGCAGGTAGTGTTTGTCACGCTGCTCATCTTACAACAAGCATAGATATTCAGTGCAGTGTGTTAGATTGCTTTGGGGAGCTTAGTTTGGCTACCTCATTGTTTTCAGCATGGCTTCCATCCATTATATTTTTTTGGCCTTTACTGTAATTTCAAATGTTTGTGAATTGAATGCAAAGAGAGGCTGAGTGAAATAATATACATAGTTATTTAAAAGTTGTCTAACAGTAGATGCATTGCCATACCTTGCACTATTCCTATAGAAATAGACCAGAGCAAATATAAATATCAAGTAGTATATTTATATAAGCAGAAAACTGAATAGTATTGTTCCAATTTTGCAATAAAATTTCAGGGATACTCCCATTCCCTTAAGAGAGCTATATTTCTTTTTCAGCCTGCAAAGTACATGAATTTGTTATCTGCAGATGTGTCTTGTGGACTTCTTGTTTTGTTTTGGGGAGAGGAGGTCGTTGTTTTGAACAGATATTAAGGGAGGAAGCTGCCTCCAGAAGGTAGAGACAAGCAAATGAATGAATATAGGCTAAAGAAGACATCTGTATTGCTTCCAAGACCTAAGCTAGTATTTCACTGAGTGCTGTATTGGCTTACAAGCCTGCTCACAGCTAGCACTGAAATCTCTAATGGAGACTGCACCGACTGGCTGATGCAGACATCCCTGGAGCCATTTAGGTAATCTGCATATGGTGTAGATTGACTAGCTGAGTTGGAAGCAGCCTGAGAGATCTGCCTGTCCATCCGTTCTTACAGATGCATCTTGGATTCATCAGATGCAAATAACTTGCTTGGTATCCTGATGTATGCACACTTCAGCCTATTTATTCATCCATGTTGTTTTGCAACAGCCAGGTGGGAGGTATCCTACTGCAGTTTGTCTTGCTCTGCCTTGTGAAAGACTGGAATTCCTTTTCCCACTTTTATACTGCCCTTCTTAAGTTTACAAAGTTAAAACGGTACTCATTAACTTCATGTCCTAACCAAGGGCTGGGAGATAGAAGTGCTTATTACAAGGAAGCTAAGCTGTGTTTGTGGACCTTCACTAAAGTCTCCAGAAGCTTCTGTTCTGAGGCTACGATTTGGCACTTTAAAAGATTTTATATTTGTCTAATTTGTCACAGTTGACATTAAGCAAGCTTTGTGAGGACATACCTGAAAGTGCACCTGTGCAGTGCCCTACAAAAGTTTGGCATTCTGGCTTGATGTGCAGAGGCAGTGGGAAATTAAATTTCTCTTATTGGGGGTACAGTAAAGTGCCTTTCCTTAGACTGAATGCAGTATTTCAAAGGGCCTGGAATTAGACCTGTTAGGTCTTGAGGAGTCAAGTGTGACAGCACTGATCCTCTTCCAACAAAAAGTCTCTGAGTGAACTTCAGTTTCTTGACAGTGCCTCTCCATGAAACGAGACCCCTTTACTTGCAGCATTGTACAGTTCCATATGAAACAATCTAGATCAACAGTAAAAAAGTGATCCGTCTACCCAGCCAGAGTTTCAAGGAGCTCCCAAGAAACCTTCTCTGTCACATCCAGTTTTCATACACTGGGCATTTTTTTCTGCTTATTAGCCTTATTTCTGCAATTGGCTTTTGTCACTTTACTAATTTCTTTGGAAGTGGCCCATTTTGAGTGCCTTCTTGACTCCAGTGAGAGTGCTATGTTGCAGTACTGCTTAGTGTCCACCTTCTTCTGGAGACTTCATCTTATCAGAACTCAGATGTCAGCAAGTATCTCTTCAAGCCCAAGCAGAGAAAAGTAACATGTGGACACTGTAAGGCTTTTATAAACAAAGCACGCTTGGATTTTCCTCTCTTACGTCAGCTGACAAGGATCCACGTGGAACAAGTTTCTTATTTCTGGGTTATGAGGTGTGTTGTGGGAACCAAGGATGTTCCAAGACAGAAAAGGTTGTGGCAAAGAACAGCTTTACCCTCTGCAGTTTTCCATTTGCATGGATTTTTTATAAGTTTCATTATGAATTTTTGTGACATTAGAGTTGTTTCTCCTTTTTTGTAATTTATATTGCAGCTGAATAGCACAGAAATAGGAGCCACAACCACCTTATGAATGGCCGTTTCTGATGTGTACTCAGTGACATGTGGTCAGAGCAGAGGAGTGGAGAAAGTCTTCCTTAAGTGGTTCCAGCTGCCTTGGCAGAACATCAGACTAATATCATACTCAGTATTTTTTTTGACCTTAGCTTTTCTTGACACCTCAACTCTCACTGTCCTCCCTTCTGTTCCCAGCTTGCTTAAGTCTTTGAGCTCCAGAAGCTTTCTTCTCAGGTACGTGAGCTAGGACTTTTTACTACTTGTTGCAATTTTATCACTTAGTAGAAATTTGCACAAAATGCCATCAGCTTGCCTTTTTTTTTCAGCTGAGTGCAAAGATGCCTCATTATGTGTGCTGTAATTTGTATATGATCCTGAGAGCCCTTCAGTAGGCCATGTCTCTGCAAGTCCTCAACATTTTGTATTAGGTTGCACTCTGTTTCTCCTTTTTAACTTGTCTTTTGTCCTCAGCCTCAATTATTAGTTTAATTTTCACATCAGTAATCCCAGAACCTTTTTTACTCTGGTCTTCACTTTTTCCATCACATAAGCTGTCTTGCTTTAGTCTCTCTGGAAGGTTAGGATGTCTTAATGTCCACTTGTCCTCTCCCTTGCCTCCCTTTTGGATTTTTTCATTGCACTCCCCCTCCTAATCATCATATACTTGATTCCTTCCAGATTCTGCATGGCAACTGTCATTTTCAGCAGCTGATAAGGATGAGGTCTAGGCTCCTGTACCATACAGAGTTGTCACCTTTAATATAATATACTGTCTTATTTCCTCTTCCTTTCCTTCCTTATCAGCTAAATGCAGTCACTATATAACACTTATTCCTGCCAAGGCTAACTTAGACTTTTCACTTCTTTTTCTGACTTTTTGCCATACTTTAGAGCAGATTTTGCATAAACATATGCTGCTGTTTGACAGAATAGTGTCACATGTGATGGATTGCCAGGTCAAGTGTGAAAGCTGGACCACTTAGAGCCCTGTTCCTTCTACCAATCTGCATATTTCTATGCTAACTGGTGAATGTCCACATCCTCAAACTGCATCAGGGTTCTCTTGCAGAATTACTGGAAAGCAGAGTGATGCCTTTCTTTGCTGTACATGCTGAGACTTTCTGAGATTAGACAATTTAGTGAATAATTATGTGAAACTCACGTGTCAAGAACTGTGTAGTCCTACTTCATTGCCTTCTTGCTCCCTAAGGGAAGGCAAGCAGGGCACCAAAAAAATCCCACAGCAGGGTGGGAT